GCCTTTCATGAAGTTTTTCTTGCTTTGTCATGTTTAAATGTAATTAGGATTGTTTCCTAATCAGCAGTCCATTTACAGACAGATGGTAAAGTGTTGGGTTTTAAATATCTTTTAGTTTGTTTAGTGCCTTCAAATAAATTAAAATGTGTATAAATATAAAAAAAAAAATACTCAAAGCCAAAAGTGTTATTTTTTCATTCGTAACTAATATTATTCATTAAATAACATACTTGAGAACTTATTTTAGGAATCCCATGATATACTCTTACACTTCTACTGTCTAATTCTTATCTACTCCATACTTTCTATTTTTAGGATTTTAGCCTCAGTATAGTAGAAATGCATTATAAATCTGAGAAGAAAAAAAAAAGATTCTTTTTATGTTTCTTATAGTAGTTTAGTAATAATATATATATATGTAATAATGAAAAAACATGCCCAAACAAAATTAAAAATGATGCATCAGTTAAAAGGAATCCCAGGGTACAGGCTATAATGTTGGATATAATATGTGCCCTGTGTTTTGGAGGTGACTGCAGAAGTAGTACCTATATTGCAGTAGAGATACAACATCTATCAGTCTTAAAATTCATTTGCCAGTCTACGTATGTTTATAAAAAACTTTACTCTAAACCAAATTCTTTTGTAGATTTACCTTTTCTGTATGCTATTCCTAAACTGCATAAATCTCCAATTAAATTTAGATTTATTTCTAGTTCAATAAAAACAATTATCAAACAACTAGCCATTTTATTAAATAAATTACCTAACAATTTTTCTGATAAAATTAAAAATGTAAATAGTAATAATAAAAAACACTTTTTGGATAATAAAAAAAAATAATCAATCCATTTTAGAATACCTAAATAACTGTGAACAAGCAAAAAATATTCAAACATTTGATTATACCACAATTTCATTGAAAGATTTAATTTCTGTTATGAATTCATTAATAGAACAATTCTGTTATCCTTTCATAGTACCGGAAGAAAGAAAATTTAGCTTCAAAAATATAAAAGATATATTAAGTTTCTGCATTTATAATAATTACGTAACCAGGTATTTAAACAAGTAAAAGGAGTTCCAAGGGAAGCTAACTATTCTACTTGTACTGCAAATTTATATCTTTATTTTTATGAGAATAGGTTTATTGAAAATTGCATAAACCAGGAAAGATTTGCTTTAACTTATAGATACATAGATGGTTTAATTAGTATAAATAATCCTGAGATAAATAATTTTATTAATGCTTTTTATCCAGTAGAATTATAAATTCAAAATACTTCAATTTCGGATGTAGAGGCACATTATTTAGATCTAGAAATCAAAATAATTGATAATGATATCTAAATGTTTTTGATAAAAGAAAATACAGCTTATCCTCTTTTAATAGTAATGTGTCATACTCTTCTGTTATATCTGAATAAGTTACAATATTTCATTATTAATGTTGAAATATTGATCAAAAATTAGTATTCAATGGATTTAATAAAGAAACTCTAAATACAATTATTAAAATATTTCATGATAAATATAAAAATGTATTAGATAATGTTAAAGAAGTAAAAATTAAGGATTTTTTTATGGAAGTTTCCGATAAGTATTTTTAGTTTTTAATAAAGTCATTTAAACAAATTGACACTACTCATGCAGATGAACACTTTATTGCATGTAAAGACTTATGTAAAGTCTGAAAATTGGTAGTCACAGTGGACTTAATGAGTGGTGGTTAGGAGTTATACAAGTTTAGATAACTTAGTTGGACGTTTATAACTATACTACTAATTAAGTTAAATTAGGGCTTTACTACTATAATGGGGACTAGAATGTCAACCTCACAAGGTAAGTTTATCTTACTTACCCCCCAAGTGGTAGTACTTTATTTCATTTTTCTTTTACTTTGGAAAGTAGTCACCTTCCCACAACTGTCTGCAGGCAGTGAAGAGTGATATAGATGTGGGACATTGTGGGCTTGAACACCCCAGTTTGCTCTCCTGACTTGTATTTCTTTTGATAATTTTTTATGAATTTCTTCATGTGAGATTGGCAAACAGAGGTTAAAACTGATAGACGGTGTGTCCTCACTGCAATGTGGATCCTACTTCCGCAGTCACCTCCAAAACTCGGGGAACATTTTATTCCCACATTTTCAATTCATGCAGCATTTTTAATTTTATTTTTTGTTTGGGCTTGTTTTGTTCATTAAAATTTCATTTGTCACAGGTGTGGATTTGCTGTTTTTAACACATTTCTTTTGATTTTATTTTGCTTGACTGTTTAAGAATTAATTTTCTATACATATGTATGTGTAAATAACTGACAGACAGTATTTATTAAAAAGTTAGATAAAATGGAAAATGTGTATACATATGTGTATACATAAGATAACTAAAACTGAAAAGTTTCAATAAGTAACACTATTCTTGAATGTTTATTTTAATATCACTTGAAAATAAGGTTCATTAATTGGAACAGACACCAGAGTATGTCTTTGCAGTACAACCAGATAGTAGGAAGTGAGCTTTGCATACCATGCTATATGAAGTTGGCATCCATCTGTTATGCTTTGTTACCACCATACACTTTTTCTCGTTATGGGATCTGCTAGAAACTTAATGTCCCCCACAAAGAGAACATTCGACTAGACAATGAAGACCAAGCATAGTAGTTTTTGAACATATAAGACTGATAAATGGTGTATCCCCACTGCAATGTGGGTCCTACTTCCACAGTCACCTCTAATACGGCTTTCAGTGTCCAACCAATTAGAAACACAAACTGTACATAATTAGAAAAAAGAATATAAAGTTTAAATCTCCTACCTTCTCGATTTGCTGAGAAATCAATAAGTTTGTCAAACCCACCAGAAGCCCCTCCCATTTTTCCATAGCTTTCAAGGGAATTATTTATTTAATCACCTATACTTACCTGGTAGAAATGTTTGTAATCAATAGAAATAGCATACTCTAATCTTCATAATTCTTCACCAAATTTTGGTGGTTAAAGATGGAAGGTGCAAAGAAAAACTGTATTGAGCAAAGTCATTGTTCCATGCAGTTACAGAATTTTTTAACCTATTTGTAGCTTACTTAGAAAGCCAAACAAATTACAGTAGTTTTCAGACATTTTGTTCTAGTGCCCAATATGTTGTTTGTGTTCCAAAAAAGGCATATCTGAAACCTATATGAAGTATTTTTTGGACAACTAACTCACTGAGAAAAATGTAGTGCTACTGAGCCAAAGCACCAAGAGCAAAAGGCCTCAACCTAGAAATAAGTATTAAATTTCTGTTTTTTTATGTATATTTTTATTTATTGTTATATATTTTTAATAAATGTAACTAAAATGCAAAAATTATAAACTTTCAGTTTACCTGATTAAAACTTCTCTAAAATAGAACAGCTAAAATTACACTAGCATGAGTGTGTGACTACTCATGTGTGAATTACGACAAGCTCAAAAGTTGATGGATAAGCTATCTACTAGAAACATGTAATAGGCTCTTGTCAGTAGTGGATACTATGTACAGCAATAAAACAATAAAATTAAAAGAAAATAGATGTAAAAAGGTTAATTAAGCATTAAAATTGTGAATATAATAAAACTAAAGATCTTGCAACAAATGAAGCATTCAAAGAATGATAATAAAAGGTATTATTCATTTATTTCAAATTTTTCATTTCATTGTACATTGATTATTTCACTACAGTTAGCGTCAAGGTAGAGAAAGTAAGTGATAAAATTTAAAGTTTTACTGAAACACCTTTTGATATTCATTTAGGAGGTTCTAGAGGTTATGCAACATAATATGAACAGTATAAGATGAAGAATTTTTATTCTTAACATTAAAATAACTTTTCATTCAGACTCATTCAGTAAAAGCTTTGTAAATTTACAGAAAAATCTTAATTAAAAATAATTTATTCAAAAAAATGTTTTTGTATACAGCAGATTAGTTACGTACTAAGAGCTTGACAAGTTCTGTGAAGACACACATAGCAAATTCAATGTTATAGTATGTATAATTTGATGGTTACAAGGTAGTTCGCATTGACCAATTTTGTATCAAAAGTATTAATACCAGTGTTTCTATATAAATCAAACTGTCCCTAAATTATCTTTATGATTGTGCTTGCACAAGCAGTTCAACCTTCCATTCCAGTAATCTTATAGTATTTTATTTCTACACTAAGAACTTTCATATATGTTGTAACGAATTTGTTGTTATGTATTTATTTTAATATGAACATTGTTTAGATTAAGTTCATATTTAAAAACATGCATAGCTTGTAGTGTTAGATATGTATTGCGAAACCCCCGCCTATTCTACAAAGTTGTAGAAGTTTATCGAGAGTGGGAATCAACAATATATCTATATATGTAAACGTTTAAATATAGCTCAGTATTGTTATGTAATCTGAATTTTCTAGAAAACCTTCCCACGCCTAGAAATATAACCAACGCAACGCGCCAAAAGGAGAGTGTCTATTAGTAGTTCGCTATAATCAGTGTGCTATAAACTTCAAAAGCTACAACTGTGATTTTTATAATGCTTATCAATTGGAAAACTTCAGATATTTGACCAGAAACCTTTACACAGTTTGAACATTACAAATTATTTAACTTCAGTTTTTACGAAAATATTACCTAACATCAATGGTGGAAAACCTAGTGTGTGTGGCCAAGGACAAAGTTAGCTAGATTCCCGGTGAATCGTACTTACATCAACTCGTAATTAACTCGCTCATTGTAAACCCTCAATACGATATCAAGGAAATTCTAAACTAGAAAGAAGATTTTATATTGTTTGTAAGTTTGTGAAACTTTTGTTTACAAATCATTGTTTGTAATAACTAGTTGTAATAATTGTTATTGTAAATTGTACTATTGTGTGTATATTAAAACGTATCTGTGTTAAAAAAAACACTGTGTATTAATCTTGTTGGCAAATATCATAAACTGACTATTTATCAGCATTTATTTAAATATTAAATCCAAAGTACAAGTTAACTACTAAATTTAAATTATCAGTTAACTCAATTTCAGATCATTTAAAATTCTAATACGTAACAATATACCTTACTTATATCTACAACAGCATGACTTTTTCATACAAATAATTTCAACCTTGGTTGAGTAAACAATGCTGCATTTGCAGTTGACTTATCCAGTGACTGATAGTCTTCTATCAGAGTAGACAAACAGGACAATGATGTTTCAAAATCTTCACTCTCCATCCCATCAACCTTTAAGAAGTGGTGAAGATGAGCCTAAACAAAAAACATTAGTCATAACATACTATATAATTTTTATATCTTCTATTGACAGAGAAACTGCTTATAACACAATCTCTGAATAGATATTTAACCAAAATTATATTACCTTGCACTTGTATAGTTTAAGAAATCTGGATTTCATTCTTAACAAATTTTGTTGAAAGCAGGTGTTATTAGTAAGTGTCACCAAAGAATAAGGATGGCCAATGGGAGGTATTGCACACAATCCAATCTTCCATCTGTCCATATTCCAAGGGACAAAGTTAAAGCCATGGGTCAACCTTAAGTAAAGATAAAAAGTATTTTCTGTCTGATATAAAACAAAAATCAGATTTACACCTAAGGTTCTGAATCATCGTAAGTATATATTCCACATCACGGTGGACTCATAGCAACTACATTTCTACCAAACCAACTAATTACAGTTACAGATTCACAAGAGCTATGTTATACAAACAAACATGAATACGGACTCTAAATGACTAGAACTGAGTGATAAGTGGAATTTGCTAGTCAATTATATCTAACTAATAATAACAAAGAATCATAAAGACAATGTTTTAAATAATGAGTAAACTAGAATGGATGGCAACTGCCTGTTGTGTAAAAACACAGGTGTAGAGGAAGACTTTCGAAATGAAATGTCATCCTCTACACTTGTTTTTTTTTTAAAACAGGCAATTGCCGTCCATTCCAGTTTACTCATCATGAATTCTCTGCCTAAACAATCTATGAAAAAAATTTTTTAAATAATTGGATAGTTGGAATAATAAGACACCCTTATTATGATTATTTTCATGAGTAATCATTTATTTTAAAGGACAGTACTCAATTATTTTACACAATTAATATATTTAACACTCATAGGTAATCCATTATATTGATAAATTGCATTCATTATACATCCAAGAAACTTTTAATTATTCACTATACCCAAATCATCTTAAAATAGATTACTTAATACCTGGATTTATTTAAGAATCCACAATATTTTAAAACATACTATTTTCAGGTTTTTGCATTACTTTGAAACTTTTTAGACATATTTTTGTGAAGAATGAATGGAATGTAGAAGTTCTGTTTTCTTCCATTAGTCATAAAATTCAGTTCATGATTGTGTAAAGTGTGTTTTAATGATTAGCACTGCCTTAACTGTCTCTACATTCTGACCTGTGCAGACTGAGTTTCTCACCACACACACACAAATGGAGCTTTTGAGAATGTGGTGGCAGATAGTATGTATTACAACAATCAGCAAGTCAATTAGGCATATTAAATTCACAATTTGATGCCTTTATCATAAAACTGGGATATTTTGTGTGTCCGAGAACGTTTCTTGGGACAAACTACCAAAAAATAGGATGTCTGGTCACCATAAAGTAACTAAATGTTACATCATTAAGTTTAAAAGATTACATTACTAATGTCATGTACCACCAAATTTGCTGGCTTATGCATTTATTTATGATGAAAAAAGAAATGATTTTGACTTGCATAAACCTATAAAATTTAGTTCACAAATTTTAAAGTCAAGAATTAATTAAGAATTCATGCAATTATTTAGAACAGATAATTTAAACAAAAAACTTGAAATTAGATCATTAAAGAAGATCATCAAGCACAACTTTTTAATTATTTTTATAATCTTTATTGTAATCTCCAGAAGTGAAATTCTTAAAAACAAAGGTAGAAGTATTCAGCTGGGTGAAGTGGACCTGTTTTTGAAAAAGAAAAAAAAATCTTCTTGTAAACATAAAAAAAGATAAAGCAACTCAAATAAGTCCCAGTACTAGTACTGCCTTAAAAAATAAGTTCCGGTACTCAGTACCAGTGAGTACCGGCAGAATTTCAACCCTGGTGATCTCATTATTTGACAAACATTCTTTGGTTCATTATTTTTATAGCTATTTTATCAACATTAACACATTTACAGTTCTTTATTATTGCCAAGTATGTTTTTATGTTCAACATAATTTGCTATGTGCTTTCTAATAAATTTCTATAGGAAACAATATTAACATAAAAAATAAATATACCCCATAACAGTGTTTTGAAGTGGTCTCATTCTTTAAAAATGTGCTTACTACTGAATATATTATAAGTAAGAAATTACAAGTCAGATATTTAATTGAACTAACCTATTAAGGTTACGTCTAATATCATAAATTTGACCTTGACCTCTAAGCATGAGAGCACATGCTAAGTATAAACCACTCTTGGGATTGGTTTCTAAAAGATAGTGGTATGGAGAAAAAGCCTCAGTAAACATGTTGTCTATCCTGCAAGAAATAAAAAATTACGAGTGTAAGAAAAACTGATATAAAGTTAGTACAAGCTTACCTAGTATATGTACTTAAGCTTTGTTTACAGGAAACAGAAAAAAGAGTGGCAAGGAACTTAATAAATATACTTGAGCTTTATATCAACCTTATCTAACATGTTTCATATTGACTGATGTATTGGAAATAGGAGTCTAATATTAGTCTTTCCTGGACCAGATATCCTTTGATTTTTTCTTTCTCAGTGTAGAAATACTTTAACAATTTATATGAAACTTAGTACAAACTTACTAAATAGTATCTAAGTTTGGATTTACAAAAATTGTTCATTCATCTGTTTGTTGTTAAGCGCCAAGCCACACAATGGGTTATTTATGCTGTGCCCATCACATGTATCGAGACTTACTGCTGAGCCACTGGGGAGGGGAGCTACAAAAATTGCATAATTATATTTAGTCTTCTTATAATTCATTAGGTTGCCAAAGTTCTAAAATTTTGTATTGAGATATTAAGACCATTTCCTCTCATCTTAGAATTTCAACTTCTTAAATTGTTGATCAAAAAGTTCAATTATATATATATATACAGTTTCAATTTCATTGATAATCATTAACATATTTCTTTTGATAATCTAATTTGTTAATACAATATTCACAACCTCTGGCTATAAGTCTTAAAAACTGACAAAGATTTATCAATGATCTAGGACATGACTTTTCAAACAGTATCACCATTACCTTTATCAGACTACATAAAAATATTTTTGCTAAGATTAATCATAGTCAAGATAAATTTTTATCTAATAATTATATATTTTTTTGAATAAGTTATTGTAATGTTTGAAATATGATAAACTTAATAATAATGTTCAACAAATAAAGATTTATGTAAATAGAATATTTTGCCATCACTTACCACACTCACTAAACCTAACTAAACTTACCTGATGTCTTGTCACAGAAGAAAATTACCATAGCTTTGAAAAAGATATAATCTGACATGAAAATATTTTAAGGAAAAGAATGTCTAAAGAAATTATTGGGTCATCAATAGATTAATGTTTTGGAACACTTCCATTAACCACACCCACAAAAAAAGTAAATCACGTATAATAGTTAAACGAACTGCCTAAACATCACATTAGTGTAGCCTATATAATGTGTAAAAGTTTAGTATACTCTAATCTCTTATAGTGATGGCACACGACAATACACACATTTGACATGTAATGCTGTTTGAATATAAGAAGGGAAACATGCCTCTGTAGCCACAAATAATATCAAAGAAGTTTATGGAAATGTTTTGAATGTTCATAAATGTCAACGATGGTTCAGCAAATTTTGTTCAGGTGACTTTAGCCTTAAAAACTGTGATGGCAGGGGCCGACATGTTGGAATTGATATTGATGCTCTGAAAACGCTTGTTGAGTCTAATCCAAGGCAACACCCTCGTGAAATGGCCCTGAAATTGCATGTCTCTCATGAAACAATATGTAAAAATCTAAGGAATATGGGAAAACTCCACAAAGAAGGTGCTTGGGTGCCTCATGAACTCTGCAATGATCATCATTTCCAACGTGTGAACATTGCTTTGTCTCTTCTGGTGCATAATGCTCGTGAACAATCTTTGGACAGAATTGTAACCAGTGACGAAAAATGGGTACTATATGCGAATATTAAGTGCCAAATACAATGGCTCAGTCCTAGGCAAAAACCATGTCCAACCCCAAGACCTGGACTCCATCCCCAGAAAATGATGCTTTGCATTTGGTGGGACATCAAAGGAGTAACTTATTTCGAACTCCTCAATCCACAGTGAACTGTCAATGCAGAGGTCTATAGTCAGCAACTGGTACGTTTCAATCAAGCCATTCATTAAAAACGCCCGTCAATTGGAAAGGTGTTCTTCTTCTCCATGACAATGCACGTCCACATATGGCACGTTCGATGCAACACAAGATTATGGAGCTGAGTTAGGAAGTTTTCCCCCACCCACCATATTCTCCAGATATGGCACCATTAGATTACCATATTTTTCTTTTGCTGCAACACCATATTAATGAAAAACATATGTAAATGTGGATGATGTTAAAGAGAACATCGACATGTTTTTTGCTTCAAAGCAAAGTGATTTCTTTAGTCAGGACATTAACAACCTGATTGTTAGATGGAAAAGCATCATCGATAAAAATGGAGACTATTTCATTAAATAAATGTTGTTTTTTTATATACAAGTTGTTTTGGTTTTTTCATCTAAAAAAAGCGACATTAATTTCTTGACGACCTAATATAAAAAATTCCCAGAACTATGGTTTGTTCCTAAGTCATCTAAACTTCCCATAGATTCCTTTGTTCATCCCTGTGGGAACTCCATCTAGTCATTTTCCCACCAAACCATAATTTACTGCTCAGACTACATTTTGTTATTCAACTTTGCCTATAGCTGTTTTTAAAGCCGTGCTTCATTTGCAATTGTCCAGATTACATGCTATGACACCATAAAAAGGTGGGAATGAAAGACTGTAACAATAAAAACACAAATGCAGAAGGAAAATAAAATCACTTGAAAGATAATATTCTCAATGGATAATAGTTTCTTAACAAATATCAACTTATGTTTCAGAATGGTCAGAATTTTTTTTTAAATCAATAAGTATGTTGTTTACAGGTGAGACTCCTTAGGGGTGTAAAGTTTGAACATTTATTTAATTTTCACTTGTAAATTACAAAAAATAAATGTTACAAAATGAGGAGATCTCAATTTTTTAAGGTAAAAATTGTTAAGTAGAGTTAGAATTAATATTTCTACTTAAATTTTGAAATCTGTTATGTAGGTATATACTCAACATCTGAAAAGTGCTGTGCAGCATGGACAAGGTTAGTTTCTAAAGAATTATAAACTATATTGTTAAACTCCTCTATTACACATATATCAGTAATTGATGTATTAAAAATCAGGAACTATACACTTTGTATATACTATCTATTGTAAATATACCAGATTTCTATTTTCATGGCTTCATTAACATGCTAAACATTCAACACTGGGAACAGTATTGTTCTATAGTAATTTACTAAAATTAGTCATCAACAAAATTTTATACATGGGTTTCTTCTAAATTTATACAGTAGATCAATGATTAACCCTTCACAATTGTTTAAATACTTTCATTCTTTATTATGTTCTTACACCATTAACACTTACCCACGTAATAATATTTCACCACTGGCTAGTGCATTAATTGGAGCAAAACTAGATACAAGAAAATGAAGTTGAGGATATGGAACAAGATTCACTACAAGCTCATTCAGATCCATATTTAAACTGCCAGGGAATCTTGAAAAACTAAGTAGCAGCAAAATACAAATAAAACAGTTTTAAGAATGTTTCTTAAAGTAAAGAATAAATTATATAGTATAAAGCCTATAATAAAATTAATTATCTAAAAGCAAACCAAAGAACATTTTGCAATTTAAGATGACTTTTTTTTTAAGTTAATACACAAAATAAGTAACAAAACTATTAAGCAACCTAAAAGGAATTTATCTAATTAGAAAGTGTGGTATACAAAAGATATTTTTAGTTTGAATAATAGCATACACTCTCAGGACTTGGGATTTGTTTTTATCAACTTATTCTCTTAACTAGATAGAAGAAAACTTAAAATTTCTGTAATACTAATTGTCTCTAACTCAAAAGAAAACTGTAAAATACAGTACACATAAACATACAGTATGTAAATACATTTTGATATCCAGAATGTCAAAATTATAGTGGTTATGTCAGCAAGATTAACATACATCAAATTCTACTCAGTTCTAATTCTAGTAGTATTTTTCATATCTATTATTACAAGATTACTCCTGTGACATTCAACACAAATTGAATGGGTAGTAGAATGCACATTTTGAGATTCAGAATGCAACTTAGTTCTAATTCTAGCAGTATTTTCCATGTTTATTCTTACAAGATTACACTTATGACATTCAACACAAACAGAATGGGTAGTAGAATGCACATTTTTTGTCATTTTATGAAGGCAAAAAATAACATCCTGTTTAATACTAACAATTTGACCAAGTAATTTCTCAGTAAGTCACACAGACTAGTCTATAATCATATTTAGATCATATAAAATGTTTTTACACCCACAGTTAAAACTACTATACTAATTACTCTTTCTTCTATTAATAAAACTACATATTGGTATCTTACAACATACTGCATATGTTCATTGAGTTCAATAATAAGTATTATAATCTAAAAAGATTAGACTTGCAGAACATTAAAGGCTTGAAGAAAAAACATGATATATATATATAATAATGTTAATGAGTTGGCATGAAGTTAACATTACTTTACATTTACAACAGACATATTTTATTTACATTAAACTTGAATTCACTCATTGTTAGCATTAGTCATTTTACATTTCATGTCTCTGACTATTTTAACCTTATACTGCTGCACTTATATGAAATATATAGCTAAAATAGAATATGTATCTATGCGCATGTATATATATAAAATTAAAGTTGCCAGTTTTAGAAAAAAGATTTTTAATGAATTTCAAATCTATTTTCCTTTTCACAGCATCAAGATCTCATTCACATTACAGTGGCAAAAAAGTCATCTAAAAGTAACAGTTCAATGACTGGTAGAACAAATCCAAGTTGACTGACAGACAGCAATGTATCAATTGGTATGAATTTCAAGGAAGACATTAACAACTTCAAAAATGACCCATTGATAAACATGTCAATGCCAGTCCTTATTAATTGATGTGTTTGAAAAAAAAACAATAAAAGCTGAAGACTTTGTCAATTAAAACAAATATGCTTTAGATAAAGTCTAAAACAAGAATAATATTTCAATAATGTGAAAAGTCATTTTTATTATGATTCAATATTATTCATCTTAAAAATAAAATTAAGGACAGTTGATTTTATGCTTACTTGGAAGAGAAACAAATTAATATTACATAGCCTAAGTTCACATTGTACTATACTAATTCTTCTTCTTGTAGTTATAATTGTGATTAATTCACCTAGTTGAATCCTAAGACCAGTTCCTCCAGAATTGTACCAACACACACAAAAGGCATGTAAATTGTACAGTCCTCATGTCATTGCTGTATATACCAGTTAAATGGTAGCAGTCATGAAGAACGCCTAGTTTTACTTTTCTTGCCCAAAATGAAATGTTTTACCTCTTCACTTCGGAAAACTTAGAAGATAGAAAATTAACTCTAGAGTCCAAATGAATCTTTTTTTTCACTACCTTTCGGTCCTACAAAGGTTTTACTTGTTATTCTTAAAAAAAGAAACTTATTAAAAAAAGGAGTATGCAAATTATTTTTCTATAAATTAATTGTTAATAACCATGGAATACTATGAAATATACATTGGCAACTTATTAACCATGTGTATGTATAGTAAGTCTACAATTTATTTTGGTTATAATGCAAAAATTGAGCAATATTTCCAGGGTTTTAAAGTGTTTTGTTGCAACTTCCATCTTTTATTAACATAAATTGATCTGAACAGATAAACACAAGAGTAGATAATGTTCATGTTAACTTATTCCATAATTCAAGCCATTACTACAAAAGAAAATATGTCCTATTGTCTCTCTTGTATTTTTACATATCCTCTGTGTATTCTTGAAATGAAAATAAGTATTTAAATACAGAAGTTGCTTAATTACAGGCATACTTTTCAGTCATAATTGATAATTACAACAATAACTAATGCAACATATTGTTCATCTTTAGCATACAGATAAATTTCATAATCTGCATATTGTTATGGCTGGTTTGCATTATGAATGCTGTGGTCATAAGATATAACTTACAGCACATGAAAGTGTGAGAGTAACGAGTTCTTGGACTGTACTAGATTTATATTCTTAGGAATACAAACCTAACTGGCTTATAGTAAAAAAGGGAATAACAATATTTGGCTTATAAAGCTTCTCAGATATAAATGTTGAATTTTCTTACAAGATATTATTCACTAGGTTGATAAATGACATAATAACAAATGATAAGTATTTTTCTAATAATACAGATATATCAACTAAGGCTTTAAACTCATAGTGGTCCTTTGAGAGTTACCTGAGAAGCAAGTTACTAAAATAACTTTAATCTAGATTCAATTCCTCAAATTACAGATTTTCACTTGATGGGCTGCAAAGAGAACTTGATTTAATCAAACATATTTTGACATGTGTCTGTTGGGTAATTTAAACCAAAGCTGTTAAGCTTACCTTGTGACATTTAGAAGCAAATTTGCCACAATGTTATTCATCTGATCAAACGGTTTTTCTTTGCAATGTTTTGCTAATACTCCCAGAGATGAGGTGAAAACACTTTCTTGTTTAAGATGAGAAATATTAGTTGGAGTTTGCCCAGTGCTATATGCATTACGTGGAAGAGCTTTAGAAACCTGATTGCAAATGTTTATCAGAGCCTAAAAATATAGAACACCAAATAAATACAAATAATGTTTTCAATCAAATTAAAAATTTCTACTTAAACATGTTTGCTAATACAAATCTTAGTATAAAAGCATAGTATAAAAAATATTGTTTAATTAGTAGAGTGAAAGTTATAAAGTAAGAAATAAAATCATGGAGTATTCTATGCTTTCATTTTAGACACCTAAAACAACATTTTGAAAGAAAAAAAAAATGAAATTCAAACAAAGATATGTACCTCTACTATTATTGTACTTATTATCTTGATTTTGTCAAGAATCAGACCTATAAAAGTGGTTGACATCAAGCATTTTGGGGTAATTTTTGGCAACAGTTGATTTTGGCTAATTTGAGGGTGCTAAATTCAAAGATTTTGTTTGACCACTTGGCAAATGGCTACTTCATCCTCAAAATTTAAAAACAAAATGGCCATTCAAAAAAACCCCAAAAAATCAGTGACCATTACCTTGTACACCCAAAAAGTGAAGGGAAATTTGTCTCAAACATCTAATCACAATGTTTTCTGGCATTGTTACAGATCTAAATGGTTTATTGAACTAAACAGGAGGGAACCCTCAGTAGCTGCAGCACTTGTAATTCTTTCTAGCAAGATTAGAGTAAACTAATCTACAAGACTTTAGTTTCCCATTTTTATTAGCTATATTATTGTGCACCACTAACAACAAGTATGGGGTGCACTTATACCCAATTTGATTTTATTACTCATCAGGCTCTCTACCAGACTACCCTGAAATTGAAATTTTTTAGGCAGGATTAGAATAAATTAATCTATGAGACCTTGCTAGCATGTATGAAGTGAAAGCCTCAGTTATAGGAAAGAATAAAACCAAGACAATTAAAGCTGACTGGACTCTCTTACGATGACGTGTTGTTGTATATGAAGCTTGACAAACTGTTGACGTGAATGAAATCATGAAACATGAACTGTCACCAGTCCCTCTTTCTTTAGCAGCATTGGATGGCTCTTTGAGATCAGGATCAAAGTCACTTCTAGCTGATCAGCTGACAGAAAAGATCAGTTGTCCTAAGAGCCTGCCTCCATACGAAGATACAACATTGATCACTGATGGTATGTCTGGAGTCCATCTCCATAGAAAACCTCAAGGGACAAAAATCTTTGAAGATTTTGCTAGTGTTTTTAGTGCACTGAATTTTAAGACAGGAGAAAAATTCAAGCAGCTTGACATTGTCTTTGACCATTATCAAATTTTGCCTGTGAAGTCCACCATTCAAGATAGGCGCAACGAAACCAACATCCATCAGAAAGTTAATTTGGTCTTCCGATGTTCCTTTACCTAATGACTAGGCAGATTTTTTAGCTGTTACTGGAAACAAGATTGAATTGGTTGAATTCCTATCAGTGGAAATTTCAAAGCAAGCAACACAAGCTGAAATACCTGTAATTGTATGTGCAGGGGATTTTTTCAGCAAAGTTAAGTCTTTTGCAGCCAATCAGATGTTACTGTGACATTCCTTCAAAATTCCCCAGAAGAAGCAAATACATGTATAATATTGAACTATATCCATTCTAGCACTTCTGTCATTATTATACACGCTCAAGACACAGATATATTGCTGTTGCTACTCGCTCATTTTGAGAAACTTCAGTGGGAAGAGCTGTGGATGAAAGCAAGTTCTCGAAAGCTTCCCAAATTCATCCCAATTCATGACCTTGTCTCTGCTTTGTCACTACTATGCACTTTGTCCAAGCTTCTACCATTTTAAGCCCTTAGCAGCAATGACTCAGCATCCTCTTTGGCAGGCCATAGCAAGATATCAGATTTGAGATGCTTTTTTGAGCACAGTGCACTTCTACATGGACTTGACATTACCCCTTTGACATCAGAAAAGATAAAGGATGCTGAAAATTTTGCATGTCAAATTTTTGAATCTGCTCTTGAAGCTGAAAGTATTGGTCCAGTTCAAAAATACTCAGCATTGAGACTTCCTCCAACTTGTGATTCTCTCAAGTTTCATATCATGAGAGTACACTATCAGGCTCTCATTTGGCTACAAGCACCCATTCCATTTTCAGAGCTTTCCCCTGTGACTGATTACGGTTGGGTACTTGAAGATGGTCAGTTACAGCTGGTTCTGTCCTCTTTACCTCCAGTATGTGAATATCTGATCCTATGTCAGTGAAAGACGAGATGCTCAACAATGCAATGATAGTGTCGAAAGACAAAGTTGGAATGCCGTTGTAAAGGTTAGCGCTCAGGTGAGCTTAATTGTTGGAGATTCGATTAAAACCAACCTTTACACCAAATTTATTTATTGGAGGATTTGTCGTGACGAGTGGAGCCACAAGTCGCTAACTCGAGGAGTTTACAGTTAGACTAAAGAACATGAGTCTCAAACCAACAGTAAATACTCAAAAATTTCTTAAAATCACTTGCTTGTTATTAAACTATTAACATACAAATCATCAAAAAACATTACTGGTAAAAAGTTTAATGCTTTTTGCACTAGCTGATTAAGAGAGAGAGACTATACTTACTGTATAGTTGGAATTTTGGAGGCTGTAGCCACATTGGAAAACTTCAGCTTCATTTTTCTTCTTAGAGAGAACTGCTGGGAAACTGGTGGAGAGTTTCTTTGCTGTCCGGAGAACTGATTTTTCAGTCTCTGACATGGGTTTTTAAACTTTCATTCCTAGTGTTAGTGCGACCCCACCAAATATGACACAGCATCACCCACAAGTAGTCCTGTGCTCCTATTGGATGCTTTGGGGCAATTCCCGGGCTAATCCAGAACCTAAACCAAAACTCTCAAGTTATTGGTCGTAGATAAGTGGTATTAGCCAGCCGCCTATCTACTTGTGCTGCTACACCCATGTACTGTAACCAATACTGGTTCAAAGCACCGAAATGATTCACTAAATATAAACTTTTCTGTAGCTTCCATAGTGCTAAGAAAGCGAGGCTAACACTTCATCAAACTGGCACATGTATTGGTGTTCACTTCCTGATTATGATGTAATAGCTGTTACTAACTCTGCTATTGACCCTGGGTCACTGATTTCCCAGGCTCACCTCTCCAGCTTGTGCACGTGTTGTGCTATTTACTTCTGAATGTCTAACCTAGTTCTTGTTTATTAATTTCTCAAGGCTTATTTCGTAACACAGGCGTCTCCTTGTCGCCTCCTTTTCTTTTTATATCTTTCTTAACTTGTTTGCTTGTATTGAAACTATTAAAGTTTTTATTCTAAGTATTTCTAAAGTACTTTTAAATATCCATAACTATTGAAGCAGTTGATGAAATTTCCTCGAAAATTTCCGGTTGCGTCACTGTGGGGCAGCATATGTGTAGGAGATTGCATGAACATGGATTTTATAAGTTAACATATGACCAAAAGCTATCCTCTACTATTGAGCATTGATTTTGCATTTCAATTTAGACATACCAGATACTATTTAATGCAATTATGCAGACATGGAAATCGCAGCCCATACTCCTAAAAGAACGCAACCTTTGGGGTACTATTTTGGATTGTTTTTCTTTTTATTTGGAAGAAAGAGACAAAATTTAAGTTTGTAATCACCAATTTTGAACTTGGCATTCACAAGTTGACCCAAACTGCATACTAAAAGAAAATTTATCTTTATGTATTAAAAGATATATAACCAAATCCCTGAGGTAAATAGTGGCCATTTTGTTTTCAATTTTGAGGGTGATGGAGCCATTTTCCAGGCAGCAAAAAAAAAGTTTTGAATTCAGCATCCTCAACTTGACCAAAATCAATTGTTTGCCATAAGTTACTGCAAAATGCTCAATCCATCTTTTTTGGAAAAGTGAACCTGATTAAAAGCCCTTCTCTCTAACTTCTTGATTTTTCTATTTTTTTACATTCAATCATTAGAAATAAATATCATTTCAAATATTATTTTAGTTCTAAAATGTTAATTTCAAATATAATAAACTAAATCCACTAATACTGTTATGCAAATAGAGCACAGAAGTGCCTGCCATTTCTGAGAAGCTAAGAAGTTAGAGACATTCCCATAATGCAATGGTTTCGAAATTGTGTGTCATAGAAAGTTGTTAAGGGTGTAGTGAGAGTTTCACAAAATAAAGAATAATTAAGAACATAAAAAAAACTACAAAAAAATTATTGCATGTGACAGCAAGGGTTTCACACAAATTGAGGTAAGTGGGTGAAGTGTCATCAGTGAAAAAAGTTTGGAAACCACTGCTATAATGAAAGTACTAAAGCACTATGCAAAGTTGAATTAATTGGTTCTAAAAGTATCAAACATAAAAACTTTCAAATGTGAACCTTATTGATGAACTTCATGCTAAAGACTAGGCAATTGTTCTCAAGGTGTATCTGAAAGACCATGGGGTAGATCTGGCAAATATCACTCAAGGTGAAAGAAATTACAAAAAAAATATAAAAGAACAACCCTATCAAGTCCTATGAGAAGACAACCATTTGCTGGTGAGGGAGACCTAAAACTGAAGACCAAAAAAAGGGCACAGTAGTGATCAAAAGCAGTATCAAACACATCAGATGCAGGGCCCCTCAGAATCTGACACCACTGTTTTTAGTTAAATATGATAAAAATTTCTAGAATGAAAATAAATTACATCTCTTAAAAAATAACTAACTATAAAACACTGTAAAATGATAATGAAATATTAATAGAAAAATTACTTAAAATATTTTATTAACTGACTAGTTTGGCAAAATTGACATTCTATTTTAAATCCATTATTACTATTATTATCTATTCAATAGATTGTTTATAACCCCTAGAGATGAGTCAGTTGTGATTGCAAGCTCATAAAGCACCTGTCATGGATGAGGATTCTTATGCTAAGTCCGAATGAAATGAGGTGGGTCTTAATTATCTACCCTATCTGTATGATCATGGCTAATACCTTCAGCAGATCCCCAATGGCTAGGCCCATGGTAAAATAAAGGATAAGCCAGTTTTTCAAATAATAACAGAAGTTGATATCTAGCTGACAA